AAGTGTACTTGAAAACCCCATTTCTTCCCCCTTTTTCTTTTAAAAGTGAGAAAGAGAAAAAAAAAAAAAAAAAAAACACTCACTGCCTAAACAGAGGAGATAGAGTAAATGAAAGATGAAGAGGGCACAGATGGGGGGCAATTTAAGGAGTAAAAAGCTGCCATGCTCTCGTAAGGAAACATGTTTAGAGCCTTGTGATATTTGTCCTCTTTATAATAGCCTCTGGTTGTGGGTTTGTTTTGAGGACAAAGTATATAGTTAGCATCAAATACTTATAGAGAGCTTATGGAAAAAGGTTGGTTCTTTCTGGCATGGCTAGCTGCTCACATTATACATCATGCAAAGTGCCGTGTCTGGAACAAATAGTTTCCTTTGCTATCAGACATGATTTTTTGAAAGCTGTCCCTTCTATGATCCTTTGCTATATATATAATTTTTTATTATTATTGCAGTACATCTATAATCAGAGAAATCATCAATGCAAGGAAATTATGACCCACCACTAACATTTTTCATGATGGCTTGGCACTGAGATATTGTAACAAATTCAGTGAAGCATTCATGAGGTCATCCTCTTTGTCATCATAGGTGAGGCACTGAGATATTGTAGCAAATTCTAACATGGTTTATTCTATAGGCCCTAAGAGGAGGCCTTATAGCTTAACCATTTGATCAAACTAACAAATTTAATTCAATGGCATACCTAAGAGATAGAGTCTCGTCTAAGGTCCTTGAATATAAGGCCCTCACTATAAAATTCTACCCTATATATGTACGATACATTGTAGCAAATTTACTTGAAAGCAGTTTATGATTTTATGAGGAATGGCCAGTCAGTTGAGTAAATGGACCTCGTGATGGCCCTGCCTCAAAGGCCAGCTCTTTACACACTTGGACTGAATTGTTACTTTCTTTACTCCTCCTGCCTAATTGTTAGTTCATCACTAAGGCCAATTTTCATAGACAGTTCATCTGGGGTTTCTGTTATTATTATTATTTGTTAATTTAGCGCTTAGTGTGTATTTTTTGAAAAGCGTTTAGCCGCGTGGCTATGCTTTATAAATAGAATATTACAACAGTATAGCCGCGCGGCTATTCTCATTGAATGAATTTATCTTTTTTAATTACTTTAATTAGTAGTTATGTTTTAATTATTATTTACTTAGTGAATAATTAGTATTTAGATATTTAAATATTTTGATTCAATAATATGTGAGTATTTTGTGAATAATACTTGAATTTTGCATGTATGATTTTGTAAAAAATAAGTGTATTAAAAAATAAAGACCCAGGTAATGGATAATGTTCTAAACTTCTTTTATTGGGAAAAAACAGTTATAAAAATAAAATAAAAAAATCACAGTATCTATGTAAAGAGCATAGCCATTTATTAAAAAAAAATTAAAATAAACTACCACAATACAGCCGTACGGCTATACTCGTTTTTATAAATAAAAAATAAAGTATAGCCGGCGGCTATACTATATATATATTATTTTTAAAAGAGGGGGCCCGCCTAGCTCAGAGCGTGTTTTTGTGGAAAGGGTATAGCCGTCCGGCTATACTTTATAAATAAAATATTACAAACGTTTAGCCGTGCGGCTATAATCTATAAATAGAATTTTTTAAAAGTATAACCGCACGGCTATATGCATTGAATAGCATTGTCTAAATTTCTCTTTTTTAATTACTTTAATTAATAGCTATGTTTTAATTATTATTTACTTAGTGAATAATTAGTATTTAAATATTTTTATTCAATAATATGTGAGTTTTTTTTTTAATAATTCGTGAATTTTGTGTGTATTATTGAATTTTTTTTAATTTAAAAAAAGTGTAGTAAACATGAAAAATATGTATGTATGTTTATAATACAAGTATTAAACATGAAAAATGGTAAATTTTTTATACGAGTAATAACTCTAGAAGAGTAAATACTCAAAAGAGGACAATAGAAACTCGAGTAATGCCCAATAGTAATGAATAATGCTCTAAACTATTCTTATTGATAAATAAAAATAAGGGAAAATTAATTTTTTTTAAATATTTTTTTTATCACGAATGGTCCTGGGGTTTGTGAAATTATCGCCTTTCATCTTTAACCTCTTTTTGTGATACTAATTGTCCTTAAGATTACCCTATGCACATCAGAATGATCATTCTGTCAGCTTCCGTCAAATTTTCCATTAAAATGCTAACGTGGCACATATATGAAACTACACATCCAATAGAATAGAACCACGTGGTATTAAATAAAAGGCATAAATATTACAACTTTAAAAAAAAAAAAATAATAACAAATGACCTGCCAGTCCTACCACCAGCCAACTCTCCATCCTACCTTCCTCTGACTGACACCCCGCCGATCCAGCCCAAACCCACCGCCACCGCCACCGCTGCTCTCCTCTCCAACACAACCAAACTTCACCTCGCCCAGATTACTGCGAGTTGAGTCGCTCGAGTTGCCGCTTTCATTTTCAACTTACCCAACTTCAGCAGAGATGAAAATTGGGCAGCAAATATTACCAAAAAGAAAGAAAAGAAAAAAGGGCGGCAACATCACCTTTCAAGATGCCAAGATGGACAATTCAAAATGCAAATTTCAAAACAAATGTCCGGTATTATCAAACCAATTAGCTAGAATTTGAAATTTTAGTCAAATTAAAAGGCTCGAATTCAAATTTCAGATACATATCAAGACACCTATGGATCTGGTGAAGGGGGATATCAAAATGTTGGGATGTGTTGGATAGGAGAGAGAGAGAGGGAGAGATGGGCTAGGGCTGTGCTTTTTCGAGGGAAGAGCGAGAGGAGCGGGGTTTGAGACAGAGAGCACACCCAACCCAGATGTGAGACACAGAGAAAGAGAGGGGTGCCGTAAGGGAGGTGCTGCAGGGATGGGTGTGGGGTGTTAAGGCTCAGAGGATGGGGGTGGCGCTGGCTTTTGTGATTTACTATGTTTTTTTTTCTTCTTCAATTCTCTGGTTGTTCGTTCATGTTAACTTTTTTTTTCCGTCTTTCTCTCTCTCCCAAATTTGTGCGATGTGTGGAGTTCAATTTTTCTCTCTTTCTTTTAATATTATTTTATTAAATTTTGTTTAATGTTTTAGTTTTTAAATACTTTTAAATATTTATTAATATATTATTGAATGTGTGGCCCACTATGTAAAGCTTATAGCCGCGCGGCTATACAATTTACAAAAAATATATTTAAAAATGGAAAAATCCGAAGTATGGCCGACCGGCTATACTATAATAGAAGAAGGCGCTTGGTGGTTAAGCCGCGCGGCTATACAGTATAAATATAATATTTCAAAAGTAGAGCCGCTCAGCTAGACTGTTTTAAAAAGTATAGCCGCGCGGCTATACGTATTGAATATCATAATCTAAATTTCTCTTTTTTAATTACTTTAATTAATAGTTATGTTTTAATTATTATTTACTTAGTGAATAATTAGTGTTTAAATATTTTAATTCAATAACATATGAGTATTTTGTGAATAATACATGAATTTTGTGTGTATTATTGAAAATTTTGTAAAAAATAAGTGTATTAAATATGAAAAATACATATGTATGTGTACAATACAAGTATTAAACGTAAAAATGCTAAATGCTTTATACGGGTAATAACTCTGGAAAAGTAAATACTCAAAAAGGGACAATATAGATTCAGGTAATGACCTAATAGCAATGGATAATAATCTAAACTACTTTAATCGATAAACAAAAATTGGGGAATAACAATTAGAAAGAAAAAGAAAAAAAGATTGTAGTATCTATGTAAAGAGGACCCGCCCATGAACAGTTTTTTCTCGTTGTGCAGGACGCCTGGATGGGCCGTCGACCAGCAAAGCGGGCCGGGTTATTAGGTCATTTGGCCTAATGGACTTTATGAGAAGTAACCTAACATGAAAAATACCAAGTAGTTAAGAAATTTTTCTCTTTGTTTCCATAAACCCTATAAGTCGAAATGAACGTACAGTGGTGGCCTTCTCTATGTGAAAGGGTATAATGGTCATTTACTTTATTTGAAAAGAAAAATAGAAAACGTAGCGCATTTGGACCTAGCTACGATAAGCTTTGCTAGCTCCTCCTCCTCCTAGACGTGCGCTTGGGGAGGGATACTTTTTCAATCAGGATCGTTCAATCACCCAACCTCAACGAATGAGATGAAAATTTATTTACTTTCATCGTACATATGATACGAGGTCATTTGTTTGAATTCCTCTCCTCATCACAAAAAAATAAAAAATAAAAAATAAAAAATAAAAGCATTAAAAAGTATGTTACAAATCAATGTTCTAATATTGCTTTCAACTATGTACATGTATTACCTATCCTATATCTTTCTCACTAGATGGTAAAACATCTTAGTTTTATTCATTCAGTCGGCTAAGGAATTTGAAATCAAAGACTTGGGTATCCTGAGATATTTTCTAAGGATTGAAGTGGCTCATTGAAAATAGGGAATCTTTGTGCTGGATCTTTTAATTGAAACAGAAAGGGATGCTAGCTTGCAAGCCTGTCGACACTCCAATTCCTCATCAACTCGTGCCTTAAGCACGCATTAATTGCTCCACCGCTACTAAACCAGTTCCTTCAGTTCAGCTGCACTGCACGATCCTTCTGCGGCTGCTCTATTTTCCTTTTCGAAGATCAACTTGCTGATATTCTAACTAAGGGAGTCTCCAGCAAAGTCTTTGAGTCTACTCTTGCCAAACTGAGTATATACTTAGTATTATTTATAAACCTAGTGATAGATAAGGGGATTGCCATAAAATATAGGGGTGTGCTTTGGTTCAAAACCAATCCTTATTCAAGCCAATATACATTGGATTATGATTTTTTCAATCCAATCCGATCTAATCCGATCTAATCCAATTGATATTGGATTGGATTGGATGATCAATTTTCATTATGAAAAAGATAATAGTGAAATATTTATCATCATGTTTAATATAATCAAATATTTTACTATATGTAAATGTATAATATAAATGAAATGCTAGAGATTTTTTTTATTTTCTATAATATACTAAACACAACTCCATCAAATGACTTAAAATGTGCACAACTTTCTTAATTACAATTACCTGCATTAGCAAAACACGCATGAAACTAATTTAACTGGATTGGATTTTCACAAGCAAATCCGTCATCCAATCCAATTTGCCAAATCATCGAAAACCAATTAAAATTGGATCGGTCAGTTGGATCTTGCACACACACCCCTAATAAAATGGAAAAGAAAATTCTCGAAATACCACAATGTGATAGGAACCACAAAGTACTGCCATAAAATTGGCATAGTTGACTAACTTATTTCATCTCTGGTTGAGTTCTTGGCAAAAGAAAAAACTTATTTTTGCCATCATTGGGGACAATTCTCTTGCTCGCTCAGCCTCGCCGCAATAGACGTAATGGCATAACTTAGGCTATCAGGAAGAGAGTTGTATTGTACCCAATATGAACTGGTTTCAGCCTTTGCAAGGTATATGAGAGCAGC